AGTACAGCTAATGCATAATTTTTACATCTCTTCCATCATGCTCTTACATCAAATCAAATTATTGTTGGTTTTATCACTCATATTAAGCTCAAATGTACCAATAAGTCAATTTCAATTCTGACTAAATTTTACTTACCCGGCGAAAACATTGAAATGGAAGTATTATATAGCAAACGAAGTGCAAAAATATGAATTCTTTCTTGTTTGAGTAAAAGCAATGATATTTCCCAATATCATGCTAAGAGTAGCTAGGATGTCCAGAAGAAATGCCATTCATTTGATGAGAAATAAAAAGGAATATCGAAAATTTGAGTGGCTGAAGCTGAAGTAGCTACTTTCGAAGTAATGGAAAGAAAAGCTACAATTGGAGTGGGAGAGTCATATTTGAAAAGAGGATTCCTCACTTCTTTCTCCTTTGAATAATTAACGGTCATTTCTACACTTAATAGCGGAAAACTTGAATGCATAAAAGGCAATAGTTAAACCAGTAAATTAAGGCATCGAATGACCACAACAGTGTCGGTCGATCCTTCAGGAGAAGGGCTCGGATATCAATCTTTCAAAAACTTTGGTCGACTTGTGAGGCGATCCACGTTTTATGAAACATGAACTATATTCATACAAGACTTGTCACAAAATATTTTATCTTTTCTTTAAGATATGAGAACACGATAAATCATCTGAATAAAAGACCAAAGAATTGTCAGTGATGAAATGTAATTGGTGAGGGAATCATGTAAGCTCACCATACATTTTCTATCTCTTTCTCACAGTCATCATCGCACAGCCTCGGTTTTTGCTCTGGGGGTAATCCAGCTGCTTTTGAAGAAGATGAGCCTAGCAGAAGGCCTGACAGGCCAAAACCTAATCCAATTACTTCCCTACGCTTCACGAAGTCCCACTCCTTCATGTGATCGATGGTCTTTGAAGCTTGCAGCCTAGATTCTGAACTTGAGCACTGTATCATAAAACCTTCAATGCTGATTTTTTGAACTGTTTGATGACTCCCAGATAAACGTTTGGAAAATGAAGAACCTTAACTCAGAAATCAAATAATTAGGGGAAAATATACATTATCAATTAAAACATCTAGTTCATATAATTGAACTTCGCAAGGTTTTATCATCAGTTATCCTGGAAAGAAAATGATTGGAATTTCAAGTTCTTAATGAGATATGCAATATGCTGTTCCCAAAGAACAGCAGTCATGACATGTCTGAACACATATAAGATTATCAGTAGGTCTCCAAGAGTACAGTTGCCATAACATAAATCAGATGCTATCAATGTGAAGATGCCCGAATAAAAAGTGCATCAAGAATTAATATTAGCTTATAACTATGTAGTAGTTTGTAGATGTTCTGAATTACAGAAGCAGTAGCATCGTCTATTACAGGATCTTACATTTACAAAAGCAGAAATATAGTTTTTCAGCACCTAAAAATCATCTCATAGTGACTGTTGCTTTGTCATTCTATTGTGTCATTCTTTGATTGTTGACGTTCATAATCTTTTATTACCAATATTTAATATAACTTGCACTCTATTATAAATCTATTCGTTGTATCAAAATTATTTTTAACTGTGAATTTTTTGGTAACAGGAATCTGGCCTTCGGAATATAAATTAGGCAGACTATATTCAGATGTGAATTTGACTTCTTCTGCATGCCAGATATGAAGTTTAATTTTTGAGGCAAACTGAAAAAAACAACTAAACAACACGAATATTCTCGACCATCTACAATTAGGGGGAAACTGAAAAAAAAAAAACATTATGTCTCGCCCAACTTCAAATCCTCGGTTTGAACTATTGGAAACAATAATAACACGAAACGCAAACCAAAAGCATGTAAAGACACAATTCACTCTCGATGCAAGAGCCACTTCCACAATCCAACACACACGATTCTTACGTAAATTGGATATAATTTATATGAAAATTAATCGTAGCATATCTAGTAAAAAATGCAGAAATCTGAAAACCAAAGAAGAGTATGTACGAATGTGTTCTGACCGAATGGAAGTAGCAATGATGCTGACGCCATTTTTCTTCTTCAATTTGCTTCGTTTTTCCGCGAGTACTCTGTTATCAGTCGTTTGAATTTGTATGGATAACGATATCAATGAATCAGTGGTTAATTTCAGTTTTGGTAGCTAAACCTTAAATAAAATCTCAATTGGGTAACTTAACTTTAATTTATTGCAATCAGACCACCAAAGTTTCAATTTATTTTCGATTTTAATCACTCTGTTAGTCCTATTACTAAATTAACATCACAGTCCTCCATTAGCCTCTGTTTCTAGGTAGATATACCATCTAATCGTGTCGTAGCTCCAAAATCTTGAAATTATAATTGATTAAAGCTCTGAGTACGCCCGATTAATTACCATCAATTTTAAAACACTTGATTTTTAGATTTAATAATAACGACATGATTATGTGTGTATATTTACTTGGAAACGTAAAATGCCATAGATTGCTATCAATTTTTTATGTTCCCAAAGAAATTTTGGCATAACTCAAAATGAAATAAATTGAAATTCAACGAAGAGTGAATTGAATTTGAGAGATCCAATTGAAATTTCATTAAGATTTAGAGACAAAACACGAATAGTTGAACTTTGTTAGGTGTGAAGGATGGTCAACTACAAGGGTATGTGATTTTTTCAAGATCGATGTTCGATTCAAGTACTTGCAAATTAATAATCAAGGAAGAAGAAATATAGAGAGGGGAAGGATTTCACGTGATATCGAATGTGTGATGTCTCGGGACCTAACATCTATATAGTTTAAAAAGTATGTAAACACATCTATATAGCGCTTGTCTGGTGTTGCTTTTCAACATGTTGGGAATTGATTTATTGACCGTTGAGCACAAAGTTCCAAAAATCATGTGAGTAGAAGTCAAATTTTGCTGCCGGTGGGGCCCCTTCCAACTGTTGGAATTCTAGTTAAAATTGGATTTTAATTGTAAACAGACAAGCACATAGTTTAAAAGTAAAGTTTTGTAACATAACAATGTTAGGCAAATATTCGAAATTAGTCGAAACTGCGACTACTAACGGCATGAGAAAAGCTACTCGAACTTTTTAAAACTATAACTCTGTGTTTACTTTATAGTCTCGGAATTCGTATTTTAAAGTACGATGTCATGCTTGCATATCCCAATTTTACGTAAGGTTGGTAAAATGTTTCGTCCTTATCACCCTTCCCATCAAGGAATTGGAGTAGGGACGAAAATGGAGATACGACTAACTTTTATTTTATCTATATTTTAATTTTATAAATAAATAAATAAATGGGTGCAAAAATGAGGATTTTTAATTAGGCCAGTCCCATCCTCTATTCGAAAATCCTCAACTCCGTCCCTCTTTAGTCCATACCAGTTGCCAATGTGAATGTGATTAACCTTTGTTTGTATTTCATTAAATCAATTTTTTCCTCAAACTTATTTTTAACTATATATTCACACAATAAAATATTTTACAAATAAATTCAATTTTATTTTTATTTTTTAATAATATATTTTTCAAAAATTCACTATTCTAAAATTTATTTTTCCATTTTTTAATGGATTACAAATATGTGCTAAAGACTCGAGTGCACATTTTTAAAACTTTAAAATGTAATGATATATTTAAATTATAATTTATTTATTTATCTCTTTTTATCAATCACATATTTTTCAATAAAATAATATTATACATAAATTCAAATTTTTTCTTTCATTTTTAACCATACATTCTCGAAAAAGAGTAAAGCTATGGGTATAGGATTAATCCACAAAAATGTTACAGGGTTTTCAAAATGAAATGAAGTGGCAGAGTTTAAAAAAAAATGAAAAAGATGTCAAAACAAAAATCGGGAAAAGGAAAACCCTTCACACCATTTCCCCCAAATTTACCCTCGATTCCCCGCCACCCAAAACCCATCCATCTCCGGCCAAAATCCAGTTAATCGAACATCGCGCAAGTCCAGTTTGTAAACAGGAAAGCCGACCGAATTATTCCCGACAATGAAGCCATTTTTATCAACAATTCCGGAAGCTGCACTAACCCTAAATGGCAGACAAATGTATTTTCCTTCTTGGGTTCTAAATTGGTTAGCTAATTCCGAAAGCCATAGCTATGTTTTCAATCGGAGCTTTAATTCATTGGTTTCAACTGACATTTTTTTCAAACATAGCTATTGTGTTCGGCCAGTGGAGTTTCATAAATGTTATTGTGCGGTATATACCTAACCACATCCAAGATAAATTACTTTTCATTGGAAAGCTCAACGTTTGCTACAAATAGATTTAGATCGTGATTTTTCTTGCCAATCACCTTTTTTATGTGGATGGTATGTTTGAAGATACTGAAATTGGAGTATGTATTATGAACAAAGCTATGTTTGAAGAAAATATCAGTTGAAGCCAAAAATATGACGGGTAATTAGTCTTAGTTTTTTTGTCTTTTAAGAGTTGTAATTTTTGGAAAGATTAGTTTGATATGGTATATCAATGCTTTAACATAGCTTAATTCATTTCCTTCGGTTCATTGTTGTTTTATTTCACTTACATTGCACAAATTATTGAGGACAAATTTCAGATAAGTATTTTATTCATCACTACTTTAGCCATTGTTGAATTTCAAATTTGTGAGTTTGTTAATTAAGATTGTTTCACGTTTTTTCAGCTGATATTGACTAGAACGAAAGGAAGAAATTTTGGAGTCTGTCACGCACTACTTTGGACAATTTTAATCAAAACGCCGATGCCCTAGTTGTGACCACGGATATCGGAAATGTTTTGAGGTCGAACGAGATACCGATAACAAAAGATGATTGTTCTTCACCTATAGTAATGACTGTGGATATTTCAATTGGGTGAAAGATGAATATTTAGGCGGGGAATCAAGTTCCGTTAACGACACCTTGAATCGTGCACCTAACGAGGAAAACGAAGAATTGCCAAGACTCTTTGATGGGCTAGCTCGAATTAGCGAGAAACGAGACGTCGACATATCATTGCACGTGACTTTCAGCAAGGGAAAATGAATTGTCAAATGTGTCGGGAAAGGAAAGGGGTCGACATGAACAGGTGATTTGAATTACGTTTGTGGTAGAAGATGACTATGATGTCAATTTCAATTTGCTATGTAGAATTTAATTTGGAAAACCAGGCTGGGCAAAACATGGTTGCCGAAGGATGAGTTTTGTTCACCATGTAATAAAAGGAGTTCGCTGTTTTAAAAAGCGTCTTTTGTTGACAAATAAATTCTATAAGAAAAGAACATAGACCAAACTCAAAACTAGCATAGCAATAAAAAAACAGAGTTGTGTATCAAATTAAGAGAGCTAAGTCCATGGCTAGCACAACGACTCCACTATCATTACAAGAATTTCTCACACTAAAGTCTACAGCTTCAAACTTTAAAAGAAATGCTTACAACGGTGTAATTAAAAAAGCACTTGTCCCACATGAAGTAATTTATCAAAACATACATGTCTAGATAGAAAGATCAACACTTGTATCTCTTTTTCTACATTTTGCAAATCAAGACTGATCAAGTCGAGCAAAAGGAAATATCATTTCATAAAAACTATCACAGACAACGGAATCCGAGAAACGCAATGCCCTTAGATTTTCCTTTTATTTCATCACAGCCTAAATGACTCTTTAGAAGTGGCACTTTTTTTTCAACAACTACCACGTGACTGCTGCCCCTCCAAGCTCCCTTGTGTCTTGATAACTTGTGGCATTAGAGAAGATGATGCGTTCATATTTTGAACATGTTTACTATTAAATGTCTAATCATCGACATAATGAGTATCCATTCTGTTGGGATTGGTGACCCAAATTGGGTTACCATATGAGGAAGAAACGTGATCAATTGGGATTGGAAAATATCAAACAAGATCTGAGATTTATGGTAATAAAATCTTGTTTTGGCTGCCTTTTACACGTTTTCTTCATTATTTCCATATCTTGACATGTCCATAGGTTTTGTACGTGTAGTATAAAT